GGGGACGTCCGCTGCGTGGTTTGTCTTCTGTTGTGCCCGTTGTGGTGGCCTTCTTGATAAGGCGCGATATGGTGGATTTCGAGCGCCCGCACGCGTCCGCCACCTCTACCATCGTACAGCCAGCTTTCCACATCCCGATGGCTATATTGCGCTCGGAAAGACTCATATTTGGCTTACGCCGTACATTTTGCGATATCTCACGTCCAAAAACACGCGGTGTTGACATAGTTATAGTGGGTTGTTGTTGTGGTGGTGGTGATGGTGGGGGAGAGATTTGGCGCTAGCGTTGCAAAACTTTTGACGCGTAATTGTAAACTTAAGGACAAATTTCTCTTGGCAAGAGTAGCATTACAAAAGGCCGAGAAAGCTCACACAAATCATCGACGCTGCTATAAGGATGAATTCAGCAAATTCGCTAGAAGGCATGCCACTCTACCAGCGGCAGAGCTGGCCTCTATGTTTGGTCCACTCTAGGTACAACAAGGTCAAAAGCTAACATGCGAATTACGCGACGCTGAAAAAGCGTTCGAGGAGGCAGAAAAGCGTGTGCTAAATGCAAGTCTTTTCACGACTTCGGAATCTCTTGTCGACCCAGCCGCGAATCTGTATCTATCTGACGGTGATCTCGAGGCGCTTAATGCCAACCATGACAATAACCATATTATCAAGTGGCTCTCCATAAAAGATGGTATGGTCACTCCACCATCTTGCCACACTATAACGACATTTGACGATGAAAGCCCTACCAACGACGGGGTCGATGCAAAGTGTGCGATCAGCCGAAAAGACAGGATCGAAAGCGCAATAGATCAGCGATTGTTAGCATCTTCGCATGAGACAAAGTTTGACATGAGCGCCAATACTTTGCACTCTGAATCGCAAGGCGAGGAAATAGCGAATGATATACTCGGACGTAATTCCGTCGCAAAAGATGCCCCCGGGGAAAAAGCCGACTGCAACAAGCGTAAAGTGAACGACCAATGCAACACATCTTCCAATGGAGAGTCCGACACAAACAATATAGCTTCCTCATGGTCCAGAAAACGCAAATTCTGGGACAAGGTACAGATATACAATAGTCGGAGTGCTGTTGCGGAAGGCAGTAAGCGCCAAAAGATAGATGCTTGGGCGCGCGAATGCGCGCGACTGAAAGACCTAAGAAAATGCCACTGAAGTGAAAGGTGTGGTGCGCGTAATAAATCTAGAGATTTGATTGCACACTTTCTTCAAAATTGCATGGTCTGTTGGCGACAACTCTAGATTGATCGTTGAGCCAAATTGGTATCACTTACGTCATGTGCGTCTCGTTTGTCGTACCTACGGCGGATCCACTGGTTCAGATCATGCACTGCCTTCCTCGGTTAGTAAAGGCTCGTGCGACAGCTAGCAAACTTGGTTCAACCTCAATCTCTACTATAAACACTCGGGTATCAGAGTCCGGCCCGACCACTCTTACTCCCACAACTGAAACCACGATCGATACCACCCAACCCCCGATATGTCTGTACAAGGTGATTTAAGTCCCCGTACTGAATCGAAAATCCGCGGGATGGATGAGCAGTGAGTAATTTCTCCGTCCAATATACGAGCTCGATGCTGATTTTCAAAAGAATACTCCAGATTGAAGGTGTGGCACAGGTGGCCGATTGGGCTATACAGGAGTTATTGGATGCGCGTTCGTACTTGCACCAGTAAGATACAAGAAAACTCACTAGACATGTGACTTACACTGACTTTGGAAGACAGTCTGCAGAACGGAAAGCCGAGCGATACCGAGAAGCTCGACAGAAGCTGCTGAATGCAATGCTGGAAAAACTACCCCGCGAGCTCCGAGACATGATCTACCTGGAGCTGTACCAAGATAGTCAGGACGAACCATTCGAGATCGTGGACAATAGTACCATACATCCACACGATAACTCGCATGAATTCGAGCCTATCGTCAAAGCCTATGAGACTCCGTACTGGATGATAGAGGACGAGGTTGGATATGAGTTTGCAAAAGAAGCGGTAGAGACCTGGTACAAGCACGTATCTCTTTCGGTCGACGTAAAACTTCTGCCACAGCTCTTGCAAGACGAAGATGGAGTGCTGTATAACAATGGAGCACCGTCCGTTCCCACACATAAGTTCCTCAGGAAGCTGCAAGTCGTCATTGGGCCCGCGTCAACATCGGACTCCTACTCCGGCAGACCAGGAGGTCGAGCAGTCCACATCCAACAAACATGTCAATCGCTCTCTGCTTTGTCGACGGAGGCGAGCGTCGCGCGAAAGAAGGATTTTGAGCTGCACATCGCCTTCCGATGGGTTTCGGTCTATGAACGTCTAAGCTACATCGATGCGGTATGCCCGGTGGTCTACGGCTTGAAGGCTCAGGGCTTCATGGTGACGAGTAGCCAATCTATCGGAAGACGGATGGTTCGGATATGTGATGAAGAGGTCTGTATGTGCAACGGCCGGAGGATTGGAGAGATGGTATGGGCACATACCATGGAAGAGGATTGGTTCAACCGCTCTCAAGAGGAGTGCATGAAGAGGATCCTGGACGCGAAAGTGGAGCCCGACGATAGCTGGTGATACCTCCGCTGATAGAAGGAGAGCTGTAACGAGTATTGCTGTCGCAGACCAGGTCAATGCATAGATAGCCCGTTCTCAGGTCTCGATGTCAGTACGTAAACGAGAAGGTCTTTAGCGCAACCTTGAACACCAGCAATGACATATTTGTTCCGACCATCCTTACATCATGATAGCTAACTCATTTGACAAGCTCGACACGCTTGCAGAGTGGCTTTGCCGCGACCAGCTCATCTTACTGGCTTCATCACAGGTAGATACTGCGCGGCTAGAGACAACAGGCAGAAAGCATGTAGTTGAGGCGCGTCTATCTTTGGTGAAGCGGCCGAGGGCACGGAAAGCCAATGCCGTTGACGCGTCCAGGAGAGGAGGATGGCTGAGGCCGTTCGAGATCAACATCACGGCCCTCTTATACTGGCCAATCGCGCTGCCCATCATTCCAACAGGGGTGCCCGCCCCCCGCAATTGCCGCCCTCATCTTCGCCACCAAAACATCAACACAGACTTGATAAGCTTGTCGCATCCTGCTAGTCCCTGCATAATATTCACCTGCAATTATATCCTTTGTTTTGCGAGTTGCTGCGATCAACCATGCCCAGGTTCTTCAAGCGCATCTTCAGTGATGCTTTGTTCCGGAGAGAGCCGGATGTCAGCGACATGCAGCGATCGCGGCGCGTGCTGGTAAGGAGCTCAGGAGGCATGGCGGAAGAGTCTTCGAACTGGAGGTCATCGCTTTTCGATGTTCAATGTCAGGATGAAGAGCGTCGTGGGTTAAGGGATGGGGCAAGTGTAGCCGGTAGCGACATGCATGCCGCCGAACGACCTATTCTAGCACCGAGCCACGAGCAAATACCAGTGCGTAAGCCAAGTCGTGTTCGGAGAAGACTGAGCAAGAGGCATCGGAGGCCTGCTTGAATCAAATTTGAAGGTATGTTTGTCCTGTGCGACTTAAAGCGCACGAAGCTGACGTCTTCTCTTTGCCAGGTCATCGCGGCGTTCATCATCACGCGCTGGCATTATCACGGAAAGAGAGACTCGCGATCTCATATCAGATACCCATCTGCAACGCGATGGATCGCGCTGAGGTTGAAGCGGCTGCATTGTTATCATCACTCTTGCAGCCTGGCTGGTCAGCTACGCGAGACAGTGGAAGCTGATGGAGAGATCTTTACATCACACTGGGTGAAATCTCAAGGTCCAAAAATCTCCTACATATCATATCAGCTGTCTGCTCGCAACGACAGCCCTCTTGGGATGGAATGAGAAGACGAAGGATCAACAAAATCGGGGCTTGTCACGTGTTCGCCCCTCACCGGGCCTTGGCCTGTCAGCCACCACAGCTTTAGAAACACGATTTGAATCATATTTATCGCACACTGTCCGGATTCTGCAGTCTCATGATTCCGTCTCTTCATACGACTTGTCCCTACTCACTGTCTTAATGGCAATATATCCTGGATATACACGACTAGTCGTTGGCATTTCCCACTTTTTATCACTCAAGGTATAGTTAGGCTGACATAACAGGAAAGATTACCGAAAAAATATCTCGTATTTATACTGATGAAGATAGGCTATTTTGACTGGTTCTACTCATTGCTGTCTGGACTGATCTATTCCCATCCATCCGACCCCGTCCATCTACGGATTGATTGAACGTGGACGTAGTTCTTACACAGAACCCGACGCTGTACATACTCCGTCTCGATTGCATCTGACCATGCTCAGTATACGATTCATTGTATCTCTTGCCTGCCTGCTTTCTATCATTATTCATGCCGATGCAGCGGGACAGAAGTGCAAGTGTGTGAGTCGAAATGACCACAGATACAGATCACTGCTAATGCGGATGATAGACACCGGATGACATCTGCTGGCCATCTACTGATGAATGGAACAACTTGAACAAAACACTCCATGGCGCACTGATTCGTGGTATTCCTCCAGGTGCAGTTTGCTACCCTTTACGACCTGAATTCGATCAGCAAGCATGCGCTTCTGTTGCCTCAGAATGGTACAATTCCTCATATCACGCTACGAATCCGGTCAGTATCGATTATCCGATATGGGCAAACAACTCGTGCAATCCCATATTTCCTAACGGCACTGGCATCACTGGCAGTCCATACGCTAGGGCAAATGGCTGTAGTATTGGCAATTACCCAGCTTATGTAGTAAATGCGACCTCCGCAGATCAAGTCAGCAAAGCTTTGGTATGGGCAGGTGCAAGGAACATCCGGCTCGTTGTCAAAGCGACGGGCCACTCATACCAAGGTCGCAGTACTGGACACGGCAGTTTGAGTATCTGGACACACCATATGCGCGGTATCGACTACATCCCTTCCTTTCAACCCACATCATGTTCTTACAAAAGGCCCTTGACTGCAGTCCGCGTAGCAGCCGGTCACACGAATATCGATGTTCAGGAAGCAGTCGCGATGCATGGAATGGCCATCGTGACGGGCGCTAATCCAAGCGTTGGGCTCATCGGATGGCTCACAGGTGGCGGTCATGGCCCACTCTCTACTCGTTATGGCATGGGTGCTGATAACTTGCTTGAGGCTACCGTTGTTACACCGGACGGTAAAGTGGTTCTTACAAACCCATGTCGCAATGAAGATTTGTTCTTTGCTATACGAGGCGGAGGGGGAAGTACATTCGGGGTTATCACTGAGGTTGTCGTCCGCACATTTCCTTCTCCAAGCACCATTGCGCATACGTTCCAAGTTCGTTCCAAAAGCTCGAGCACGAACGCCGAGTTCTACGATTTCCTAGGCTTCTTGCACTCAAAAATGCAGATGCTAAAGGAAAACGGCATGCAGGGTTACTACTTAGTAGTTGGGCCGCCTATAGTCCCTAATCTATCGTTCTCATGGACATTCCTGCTTTATGACACGCCGAGTGGAACGATCAAGCGACTCATGGATCCTGTGGAAGCGTACTTGTATGATAGAAACTATGCTTTCGAATGGCAATCTGTCATGACGCACACGAAAACGTACCTGGAGATGCACAAAGCCAACTTCACGAACGAACAAGTCGCAAACGGCGGTTCAGCTTATGGGTCGAGGTTACTCAGTGCCGAGAGTCTAGCGAATGCAAACAAGACTGCGGCAGTTCTCTCAGAGATTGGTCCCAGTAATGAAGCGTTGAAACCATATGTAAGCTATCTTAGCTTGGTGCCACATTATCAATGTTGAGCTGACACCCGCACCTATAGGGCCCGGTAGCAAATACTCTCCTAATCGGTCACATGATCGCCTCGCCCAACGAGCCACTTTATTACCCCACCCATAGCTCCCTTAATCCCGCATGGCGCGAGACTCTTACGCACCTCATTGTCGTATCTGCTTTCGGTGACATTGCGTCTCAAAAGCTCGTCGATGCTGTATACACGGATATCACGTACAACAAGACCGAAGCACTTCGGCGACTCAGCCCAAACACAGGAGCGTACTTCAACGAAGGAGACATCTATGAGCCGGAATGGCAGTATGCGTTTTGGGGTGGTAATTATGAAAGACTCAGGACGATTAAGAGAAAACTTGATCCACGCAACTTATTGTGGTGTCGCAGATGTGTGGGAAGTGAGGCATTGGCAGAGAGTAAGGATGGGCGGTTATGCCAGGCGAGCGCCAGGGACGGCCATGATGAGCTTTAGGTGTTAAACATAGGATATTCGTCGCAACGGAGAAAATGTTGGTTCGTGTGGTCGCGCAGAGCTTGCGGGTTGGGAACTACTTTGATATGTAGAGCAGGGTTGATTGTGGATCTTCATGCCGCGAGCCAGAGTTTGGTCTGGTTGTTATACAATGTGGTCCAGACATCTTGAGGGAGCTTGGGCGAGGCCAGCTGTGGTAGCGTATCGCGTCGTGGAGGACTTGCTACAAAACCATGCACCAGAGCCAGACAGGGGTCATGAAAATGGAGCAATTTACTGTGGACATATGTTTGATGTAAGTCGCGTTATTATACAACGTGTAGATGGTAGATACTGTTGGCATACACCTAAAGGGTAAAACAGATGCATGCGGATATAGTTGCAATGTTGATGCTGTATTGAGTTAGACGTAAACACCAGAGGAATGGTGATTGAGATCCGCTGAAGCAAGCGAGATACATAAAAAAAAGACAGGATGTACGCAGGTATGGGTACAAGCTAAGGAGAAGTCCTCGAACAACACAGGCACGACTCACAGCAGTATGCACGAAACTCCGCTTTGGGTGTTGAGCGCAGTGGAGATGACTTTATTCCCGGGCCGATATACAGCCCCATAGTTAGTCATCCATGATACCAATGCAACATCAAACGCCCCTGTCTAATACGCGAATGCGATCCACCTCACGACCACTCGAGCCTCCATGCACTGGTTTCTGTTACTAACACAGTAGGATACCGTTACCGTCAATTGGTTTTACGATGAACCTACTTGAAGAATTCACAGCTCCAATCGACTCTTACCGACCGAAACGAAGAGAACGCGTCCAACCACCTCCGAACACGCGCTCCCGTACCCGTTTATCGACCGCGAGATCAGCTTCATACTGTCTGATCAATAGAGTGGAGGTTGCATAACATGATGTGTATAAGGCTGGGCCGGCAAGCTTGAAGTCATGGACGCGATAGAATTGAGAATCGCAGATCCAACGCGTCCTTTGGACAACTTGCGCGACTGCTCCGTTCCCACGATTGGTAATTGAGAATTGATGTGGACACAGTTTTGGTATCTACTCGAGGCGATGTAGGGGACCCAGCTTTATTATGAGAAGTCCGCATGCTTCAAAAGGCATGCCGGCGGTCGATCGGAGAATACCGCTTTGGCACGGAGAAGGACGATGCCAAGACACATCATGCCTAATCTTCGACTTCTTCTGAATAGATGATCCGTGGTTGTTCTCACCGCTCGTTGCGCAATCATTCCCTGCCTGGAAGGACCCAGGTACAAGGATAACAAGTAGGTATTACTATCGGGCCCTTGTTGATGTGACAATGCTCCCATCATGTTTTTGTGATAGACATCACGAACCAAGGTATAGCTACAGGGCTAAGCGCGCTGCTAATGGGTACCATACTCAAGCTTTCTAGGGCTGTGTCTCGTCGGCCATGGCTGTATCAGCCATCTTTGTATACTGATCTGAAATCACTGGGCCCTCGTCGTTGGACAGAATTATCGCGGAGGCCTCAGCCACAGTCCGTCATCGTACATGAACACGCTTCTAGATTGACTCCACTCGGCTCTCCAGCCTCCTTTGGGACTGTCGCCTCTGAATCTTCTACCCTGCCAACGGCTATCCACGTGAAGGGCCACCAAGTCTTTCGAGTTCACCAGTAGATGAAGACAGGGTGAATTTGTGGAAGCCACCGTTCCCTTGTGTATACATTGGCTGAGACCCACGAACACTCACCCATACATCGCTACATAGATATTATCCGACGTTTTCCGCCTCGCGTCCAACTACTAACTGTAGGTCACGAAAGCCCCGCGAGCGCCACCTCTATTCGCACTCGGGTTTCTGGATCTGATAATGTAGCGTCGTCGCCCAATCTCATGCCCGTGGCCGGTAATCGGGCTAGGTTATTTTCCTTCGCTCGCTTAGATGTTGAGCATGAGGCTAATGACGCACGCTGCTGCACACGCAATTGACAAGTGCGGACTCTCTTCCGAACTAATGGCTCAACTATTTGCAGCATGATGGTGCTTGCTCGCTTTCTTCTCCGTTGTTATTTTAGTCCACGTCAATGGTTATGGGCGCGTAGAGAACCACCGTTTCGTCAAGCGCTGGGTCGCAACAACGGCCGCGATACGGTTGTCGCACAAACTGTGCTTCCACTTTTGTTCAATTGGCTGTGCTGATACTTCTTTGTTGTTCTCGTCTGGTCGTTCCCCACACTTACACTGGTGGGTTTGGGCTTACCGTGCATGTCACATCGGTCCTTTTGCTACTGTTTCGTCACCGCTCATTCGGTTGTTAAGGACGACGCGACCAGCGGACCTTACACCTCGATCGTGTCGGCATATCCTTGTCACTGTAGTCGTTTCTACCAATTGGATCATTGCGGCGATTTATGCCTTTGTTATAGTATAGCTCTTCGACCATGAATTTGCTGGAGCATTCTGGCGCCGGTGGCCAGTTATCTGATACAAATAGGCCACTAAGGAGGGATAAGGTGCGATGTCGTAGGCTACTTTCGCCCCACATGCTTAGCTTGTATGTCTCCAATTGCTGTTGGAGTGTGCCAAGTTTAGTACGTACGATGTTCAGCCGTTTTTGGAGGTTCATACCAGCAGTAACTGCCGCAATCCGAAACTGAGCAGTACCTGTAAGCTTGTCTGAGCGTACCCCTCTTTCTGCGTCATGAGGCGGTAATGAGTTTACTGATGGCTTTGTATATATGCGACACTCTCGGCGCTTTGCCCACGGAAGCCATTTGCACGGCACAATAGACTTTGGCAGCCCCAATCAATGTGTGTTGGTGTTCTTCCGGATCAGCACTTTGTTGTTCGGCCATATCAGTGACCCAACACGGTTACGATGGCCAAATTCATGCGAAAAACATTCCCTCCGCATCCTTCGCATGAACAACACATCTTCGCTAATTGACTGTTTCTTTGTTTCTGATCAGTGCCTGCACGCCATCATCGGTCTGACAGGCTGCTCGTATAGTAGTCAGCCAAAGAATCTCGCGGCATCAGCCAGACCATGAGCTTATCCCCTGATCCCTCCTCGTTTGTGCATATGCGGCTAGGGGTTGGTTGCATGCAACAGTTTTCCGTGCTTGAGCGAAGTCTTCCAGCGTCACGCACATGCTTCCTCCTTGGTCAAGCGAAGGCGATGCAGGACTTTCAGCCTGAGGTCCCGCCACTTCGATCCTTCCACATCTCGAACGTAGTGGACATCCTTTACGTATCCAAATGCTTCACCTAGTCAACGTACCGCATTCATCACGTTACACTCGAACTCATCTCGATTAGACCTTGCCTTGACCAAGGCGTGTAACTCGTGGAGTGATGTCTGCCTATTCCCAGGCGGTCTTTCGTCATCCAGTCTGCACACTTCTCGGCATACATGAACGTTCTCATCCGCCTTGACCAACCATACACCACTCTTGCGCGGGGACATGTAACCTGCCTGGCCAGACCGATTTGACCCACCAAGAAGCGGCACCCGCCAATCCGCAAACACGCAGCTTAGCCTTGTTATGCACGAAGGGCGCCGGTGACCGCAGCTCCGGCCCACAAGAGCACAGCACTCACTCGTCTCGGGATCAAAATTGCGTGCGACCTTATTATCTAGTTCCATTACAGCCCATGTACTCGCGGCGTACCCAGCATCGCGTTGCTCTCACATGACGAGAAGTCTGCGCGGAGTGCCGCGTAGCAAAATCCAACGTCAAGTCTTGGTGAGAAAGGTGTTCTGGCGCTCGCTGAGCGCAGTGCTGGGCATATTTCCGTGCCAATGCAACGAAAAGTCAAATCACAACGTCAGGAAAGCCCAAAAGAGGTGGAATCAGCAACGGATCGATTGATTGCGCAACTATTTGCAAGGTTACTTACGGTCGCAGCAGTGGCCGCAGTTGCCATGTTTATTGTGATGGCTGGTGTGTGGTTCCGTGCACGACGCAAGTCCGTCGTTGGGCCGGATGACACCACAAGGACACCTCACCTTCTGCATCACTTGGAGTAGGCTCACTTTGCCGCACTTATGCCATGGATGCCCAGTACGCAATTGAAGAGAATGATCGTAGACGTACAGCTCAATCTAACTGAGGTGAAGCAATTGGTTCGGTAATGTGGAATTGTTGCCTCATTTGATGACAAGGCAGACTGGTTGAGTCGATTGACGAAAGCAGGCTGCATCATATTGCCACCGCATTGACTAAACCATATACTCCCTGTCTTGTTATACATCATTTCGGGCTCACCGGTAAAGACGGTACGATTTGGGAGAATCTTTTCATAGGCCAAGAGCAAGCATTCCTCGCTGAGTATGCGTGGAAAGGTAGGCGAGCCAACGCGGACATTTTCGTAAAAGCTATGACAGATGGCGAGATGAACGCCAGGGATATGGCTTCTCCTTTGATCAACCATATACCGCTCGCCACGTCAGAGGATCTCCGATGGGTCATGCTTTGGCTGGTTCTAGTGTGTGTCCGGGGGTCCAGATGATTACCTCGATATGCGATGGCGGCCTAGGTTCCGCATTAACTCCACGCCATCCTGTTATCTAAGAGAGCAATGCCTGTCAGCGTGCAGGGCCTAGTCAGTTAACAACGGACCGGCCACGGGCAAAGCCAGCCGTTGAGTGGGGATACAGATCAGCTGAACGAAGGAGCCAGTCCGTGCAATGCAACATGCATGCGGATGTTGCTAGCGTTCCATCCCAGTGGCAATGCTGGATGACCGGATGCAATAGCTAAGACGCATCTCTGCAGCCTGAGGAGATAAGGTGACTGGCCAACAGTGTTTCGAGTCCATGGTGGAAAGGCCGGCACGTTGTGTGTCAGCCAAGCAGAACTGAGGAGTATCTCTAGTGGACGCGAGAAGCAGCCGAGCACCATCGGTGAAGCTCGATGGTGCTACACAGGTTTGTTAGCCTGGCCACAAAGGGAAAATTCGGGGTCGAGCATGTAGCGTAGGAAATGAGAAATGCCCGAATTACCGTGAACACATGGCGTACTAGTGCGCAGGGAGACAACGATGCCCAACCGAGGGCGATGACACTGCTTACTCTTCAGATGTTGGTCAATGCGTGTTGTAACGGTTGACCATAGCTCGAAATAGAGGACGTAGAACCCAGAATTCCTCAAGGTTGGCCCGTGTATCGCTTCGTCTGATTCCACGGAGGTACCAATAGCGGGAGCCATTGGCCAATCGCTTGTTGGGCCCAAAAAATATTCTTGAAGCGGACTGTGACTCGGCATACACCAACCGGCACGTGATCGTATTCTCGTTCACGAATGCTCCATCCCCTATGGCATGAGAGGTCCGGATTGCTCGAGAACAACACACCACGACCTCTCCGAGCGCCAACTAAGACCGTTTGACAAGGAACATGAGGGATTTTCGCGCCGGGAACAAAGGGTTACGTGGTTCATGAAGCCACGACACGTTGATCCCCTAGCAAATGTGATAACTGTCTGCAGCTGGAAACGCCGGCACGGCCTAGGGTATCATTTCAGCCCGTCTCCGCATCACTCTAGCGTCAGAGTAAGAGGGATCCGTGAATCGTAGCAATATTGTTGGATGGAGCCCGGTGGGGTGCTACCACGTCGACGAAAGGATAGGCCATGGTATCAATTTATGGCCTGACAGCGAAGCGAGCTCGGTACGGATGTGTGGCCGGCGAGGTCGGCGAGAGGAGTTCGTTTCGAAGGATAAATAGCGGTATACTGCTGCTCGAATATCAGCTTCATCACATTCAGTTCGACAGCATCTTCCAGTCATTGACCATAGACTTTGATAGTCTTCCATCTTTTGCAACACCGGACCCAGCAAACAACCTCCCTCTTGGGTATAGACCGTGGCCATCTTTGTCGAAGGCCTCCTACTATCCAACCATTCTGTATGTGTCTTTGAGGCTCAAGGTCGAAGTAACCCCTGAGCTGACCCACCCCCCAGAACGCGGTCGCTGCTCCTATCAAAAAGGTCCAGTGTTTGAACGAGAAGCGACAGGTAAGTGTTCGACGTCTGGTATCCAAGCAGTAGGTCGGTAAGGCTAATGTGTTACCGAACATCAGACGTCCAAGCTCTTCCATCCTGAAACATGTGCTTCTACGACCAACACAGGTTCATCTGCGGTGACTGGAAGTGGGGCCACTTCCGACAGCACTGCGCCAAGGAGTACCGAATCGGCGAGACGTGTGGTATGAAGCTCATCATGCAAACAGTTCCTACTGGAACTTACTGCAAGCTCTGCGAGAAGATCAATACCAAGATGCGCCGCCGAGCCGCTGAGGTGGACCGCATTGGGCGGTGGCAGCGGGAGCCTCACAAGTTCGGAGCTTCGATCGAGAAATCGATGGAGATGATTCGCAGTCTGGATGGCGAAATCAATGAGCTGTCCTGCGAACGTAACCGCAGACTGCAGGCAATTCACTGAGGTTACAGTGGGCATGGCGCGGGCGTTTGGGAATCTGTTTCATCTACAACGCTTCGGTGTTTTCTTTCAGATTGAGGCCATTCATTTTTCGTCTCCGGAGGCGGAATGATGCAGGCAGAGCTGGCATTGAGCGATGGCATACGGAACAGGGAAGGCCGGGCGTTACCTCTTACAGTCGCTTCTTTCTATTCCTGAGCTTCTGGTTGTTTAATGATGCAATGAACATTACCAATTCACTTGATTGGCTGCGTGCTCAATTGTGAGGAGTGTAGCCGCTGTGCTTGGATTGGGGGCTGAAGCTGTCCAATCCGTGACCGTCGCGTAACCGCAGATAGAAGTGGAGAGTCCATCGCGCACGGTCCGGCGAAAACAAGTACGGTGCCTATCCCTTTGTCTAGGAAAGGTGACCAGGTGTTGGAGTGAGGCGTCGGTGGCATGCAGCAATGTGGATGATCATGAGGTCAAACGCGCGGAAGGAGCAGATTCGATGGTGTTGTGGTGTTGGAGGACAGCTGGTGGGGTAAATTTCGCAACTTGGCAGACACGTGACGACGCTAGTGCTGATGTGGATAGTGTCGACGGGTGTTGCCGATAAAGCCCCGGCCTTAGCTTTGCCCTATCCCCATGGTGTCAGTCAGCTGGCCTGCACCCACATCATCATCTTGTGTGCTCTTTCATCCTCTTCTTCGCTATAGCCTGCACTGCCGTAACAAATGTCATGATGTACGAATTCCCTGAACAAGGGCAAGTCCGTACAGCATCCCAGTACCGACTGACAGCACTTTCCTCCACAGTGCACTCGAGTTCGAGTTGGTATGGCGCAGACGCACCTAGGTATGTACGCCTTGGATCATCGAAGGGAAGGTGCGTGAAAAGGTGAGTTGCTCAGGCGAACGGACGGAGGGGCTGGCAGAAACTCTTTTCAACATATCTGCGTCGGTCTGATGGTTGCCGGTTTTCGTAATCGGTCTGTCGTGTTCCTTGTGTCGCATCATACTTTTCGTGTACGCTGCACTCTGTTGTTCCTTGCCTTTCCGATCGAGAAAGGAGATCTCGAGGTCAGCTAAGCTATACAGTGGTCTTAGAAGGTTGTATGAGTGTCAAGAGCCAGGAAGGAAGTTCAAAAATGTCGACTTACGTGGCGAACGCTAAGTGGCCTGAATAGCGGCCGATCGCCTTTCATACATACTGAAAGTCCAACTCCACCACGGTCCCTCCACGCGAACTTCCGTCCGGATCGACGTCATCCTTTGGTGACTCATTACGTGTTGTGGTCGTGTGCGAAGAAAAGCAGGGGCCGTCCAGATCAGAGGAGTGAAAGGGAACGCGGGCTACCTGAGCCTTTGAGTATGTTGTGAGCGCAGCCCTACCACGGCGACTAAGTTTAAGCGCTCGTGACATACCGCAAGTCGTCACTCGTGTACTACCATTCCTCCTCGTGTGGAGAGACGCGGTTAGGTGAATGCCAGAGGGCATACAATCGACTAGGCGGCCAATAAGCCAGCTCGACGTGTCGTCAGCAGGGTCAATCAGACATGGTTCGTACATGACATACGACGAAAGGCACATCTAAAAGCCGCACTTTGGATGTATTGGGCTGCAGTCAGTATTTGTGTGCATAGCCGGAACACATGTAAAGCACTGGGTAGACCAATCATATCGCGAAACAGCACATTTGGGTATGCTGGGCAGCCCAGTACCTTTCTCATCTCGCTACAGCTCAGTAGTGGGCGACTACGTAAGTCGCATGTACCAGCGATACGTACCCCCTGACGCTCATCCATCGTGCTCTTTTCGTCGTTACTACAAGCCTTGCGCATGGCGACTTTACCCTTTTCGGCCGATCTTGCTTCCCATAGCGCTCTCGCATATTATCTGCATATCGGAACGGACGCTATACGTGTTCCGCGCCAATCAATAGAGCGCTGAAGCACGCAACCGGGAACTGTCTCTTACTGCTTTCTTCATTTCCTGGTCTTGTCGCAACGACGACTGGATTTCTCAAAAATCTTCAGTAGTAACTGAGACTGACATACGAGAATGTGTGGGACCAGGGGAGAGGACCAGACTAATTTCGACGGCGACAAAGGATAGATTTACTTTGCCTCAAGGCCTGTCAAAGCCTATGCAGACCTTGTAGAACAGGCGATTGTGGTACAGTCTTCGCCAAGGGCTTGACCAATCACAGTCCAGAAACGGCATTCTGCCTCGATCGCATGCCGCCGACTTCGCCCAACGAAAACCTCGGACAGCTCCGAAGCATTAAAGCGCTAACCTGCAACTATCGTCGTTGAAACTGTTCTAGTATTTTGCATACGATGCATCAACTTGGAAATTGCATCTTTGCCATAACAACTGGGCTAGTCTAGGGCAAAGCCGAAGAGTGTATGCCCAATAGCGCGCGCTCCAACCCCCACCGGCGGCTCGTCTCGCAGCGAACGTCTAGGATACCCCTTGCTAATCGGTACAGGTCTTCGACTACCTCACGTAGGCATCACCAGGAAACGAATATGATGTTAGCAGGAGGACGGCACTAGAGGTACTTTGTGTGGCGGCTACCATTACCTCCTGTGCATGCAGGCTAACCTTGATACATAAAGATTCAATGCTGAGCATACGTATTGTTTATTAGTCAAGAGTACACCACTCACGTTACCGCCTTACATCGTCATGCCGCTCAAATGGTGGGTTCTCTACCTACGCGTTCTCACTGCTAACATCCCTAAGCCTGACATTCAACCCACCTTTAGGTCTTGCCGTGATGCCTCCCTGAATGTCCGCCACGTGCCCTGGCTCCTCAAACTCAATCTCGAACTTGCCAACCAAATTCGCGACCAAGCAAGCAAATTCTGCCTTCGCAAAGTCTCTTCCAATGCAACTCCTCGGTCCGTGCAAGAAAGTTGTGATGGCGTAGTTTGACTCCGCACCACCAGTGTTGGCAGTCCCAGGCTGCATCCAGCGGTCCGGGTTGAAGGAGCGGGCATCTGGACCCCACATATGGGTGGAGGTATTGATGGCCCAGGGGCAGATTACGACAGTGGTGCCCGCAGGAATGAAGTGGTTTTGAATTGTTGTGTCCTGGGCGGTTTCACGGAGGGTGAGCGGTACAGGAGGGAAGATACGCATCGTCTCCTGCAACACGGCATTCAGATACGGTAGTCGGTCAATCTCAGTCGAAGAAATTTGGCCGCCAGGTTCCAGCGCTTCCGGCAACTCGGTGCGGATCTCCTGCCGCAAGCGTGTCTGCACCTCGGGGTGCTGACACAAGCAATACACGGCCCATGACATAGCTGAGGCCGTTGTTTCATGGCCGGCTGCGAGGAAGGTCATGAGTTGGTTTACTAGATCTTCATCGGAGAAACCACCAGACTCCATTGCTACGCTGAGAATGTCAGTGCCCTTTGCTTCGCCAGCTTCCATCTTTTCGCGCTTATCGCGGATAAGTTCGCGGGCTACCTTCTTGACGGTTTCAACTGCGTTACCGATGACGTCGTTGCGCTCCAAGGGAAGATTAACGGCGAGCCAGTGAGGAAGTAGATTGAGTAAGACTTGGATGAGCTGGGCGCCACGAGCGCCAGCGAAGATCTTGCGATAGGTTTCGTTGAGTTCGTTGTTAGGGTTACTGATGGCGTCAAAGTCTTTGCCCATTCCTGCGACGCCAATGATGTCGAGAGTTGCGCGAGAAGCCCAATGGCCAATCTCAACGACAGACGACCCGTCGGGACTACTCTTGATCGTCTCAGAGATCTTGTCTGTAAGCTCTTGTGATTTACTCCAGAAGATGGAGTACAAATCCTTGACGTGCCTGAAGTTAAAGGCAGGCATTAGCAGCTTCCGTTGGCGCTACAATCGCATACAGGTCAGCATCCATCCCATTGGACTGCATCTCATGTACACATACCTTATGCTCATCCCCTTCAGCTAGCAGAATTCCAACTCCAAGCAACCTACCCAGACCCTTTCTCAATCTCGATGGCTTGACAAACTCATAATTCCTGTGCACGAGAACTTCACCAATCGCCTTAGGATTCGTCACAAGGATACGCGGCTCATTGAACAGCCAGCGATAATGTAACACGCCATCGTTTGGCACAGTATCGATCCAGTCCCTTTGCGGTTCACCAGTTGGATCTTTGAAGATGCGTCGGTAATGTCCAAGCAGAAAATGCCCGTCCTAGCAATATTAGCCCCAGGGAACGGATTGTTGCAGACCTCTCACATACCGGCGGTGAAGGCAACCCCCTTAACGGACTCAAGAATAGCGGATAGACAATCACACTCCAAAACAACCGGGAAAACAAGGCTATCGCGAAAATCGCAGTTGTGTTTTTGATTGGGCCGTTGGAGATGGTCACAGCAGGAGCATACCGCTGACTAAACCAGGTGAACGCTGCTGACGCGAGAAGTAAGAAGCGTTTCGGTACCGCCATGATGGACTGGTAAGGGCGAGGATGGGGTGCCGAGAGATTGACAGCTTGATGATCGAGGCGAGGGATGGCGCATCAGCCTAAGAGGATGCAGTGCTATGTATGACGTATGACAGCTGTCTGCACCACAACAGTAACAGCAGCGATGTTCACAAGAAGACGTTGTTACTGCCAAGCGGGACCGCGCGCAGACTTATATGTCAGAGTAGGTCGTCAGTCTTATCCTCCAACATAACACGTCTTCTAACGTCCTGTTGCGCGTTCAGCCCGCGGGCACACGAATCGTTTCAATTGCGCTTGTTTTGGTTGGCGCACGCGGTCTGTGCGGCACTATCGGCATGAAATCTTCCCGAGTACGCCTCTCTATTCTTGGTCAAAAACGCGAGGGCGGAACTGTTGTCCCGGTCTGCATTGCTTAAGTAGCCTCTAGGCAGCCAGGATGACACCTGATGTTGAAGGAAGCAGAAGCACGCGGACGAGTTTCACGGAAGATGTGGAAGAGCGACTATAATGTTTATCGCGATTGATTTAATTCGTCGCAACGAAGGTCCGTGGCCGTGAGCCTGATTACGATCCTCCAGAAACAGCAATCGACGCTCATTTGCGCTTCGTGGTCGTATCCTCACTATCACTATTCCGTTCCACGGCCGTGGCTGTGGCCTGATCCTCGCCCTTTGATGTCTTATTCTCGACCGCCTCTACATTCGCGTCTACGTCCCCATCCTTCGTAACGTCCTCCTTGGACGGCGTTTTAGACAGATGTCCCGCGGTCTGCTTGGACCAAAGCTCTGCATATTTCCCGCCCTCATTCATCAACAATTCCTGATGC